ATGCATTGCTATAGCTTCCATTTAGAAATTATAGGTATTTGACCTGGTGATAAAACATGTATTCTATATAAATGCCTTCAATTTGAAAGTATAAGAGGTACTAAGGTGTGTGGCATAAACAAGGGAAGGTTTGGGTTTTTTTTTAACTTAATTCAGCAGTTCTGAGATGTCAAAGTCCCAGGATGGTTTCTCTAAGGCCTACTACAGTCTACCTTTCTGGTCATGAAGAGAGTGCAGCAGGTCCAGTACCCAGCCTCTCCAGGGCAGGTCCAGAGCCGTGAAGTACTCAGCCTCTCCCCACCTCTTTTTATCGGGGGGAATCTTTTCTAGAGTCACTAGAATTCTCCTCCAGTCCCATTGACTTTACTTACTCTTGCCTAAACCAATCTCTGGCAAAATGACTGTACTCATCATGATTAGCTCTCAGTGAATCAACATTCACCCCACAGAATGACCCAAGCACATGACAGCATGAAAACCAGAATAATATTGGTGCTCCATCCCCAAGGAAACACCAGAGAATAGATTTTGGGTGGGCATCCTAAAGGGCCTCTATTTGCAAAACTAAGGAAAACTTCAGAGGGAAAAAGAATTCTAAAAGATGTATTTTTTAAAAGGAGGAAGGTAGGAAATAAAATAATCCCACAATTGATAATTTTGAGGCTTCTTTCTAAGATCTGCAAATATACATAAATAACTCATTTTAGGTTGTACTTTTTTTCACATTCCCCCAATCATCTCATTTTCTTCTTAGGAGAGTTTCTTTAATTGAGTCAAGGCCTATGATTTCTCTTCTATTTAATCAGCATATCAATGCTATCTTAAGGTAAAACTATGTAGCCATATTTCCTTCTGATCCCTCTTCAGTAATGATACCTAAACTAAGAAAGTTTATTTGGAAGATAGATAATATAAATTAATTAATTAAAATAAATTAATTAATTAAAATTAATTAAAATACCTGTTTATGTGTAAACAAAAGACTTTTTCTAAGTTGTAACCCAACAATATATAAGGGCTTTTATATGTGTTCTTTGTCCTCTAAATCAAAGAATATATAAACTCTTGAATTATTTACTGAAATTGCTTAATATAATTAGTCCAGAATTCAAATATTATAATTCACAGTTTATAAGGCCAGAAAAAGTAATTGTTGTTTCTTCTTTACTAAAATGAACAAACTCAGTGGTAGAAAATATTCATGTCAAATAAAACCCTGTTATTGAACAATGAATTGCTAAACATAATTTAACATAATAAACATAATGATAATTTTAGTTTACAAATTTAAGTATTATTTTCATGATAATCATTTAGAGAAATCAAAGTTTCATTAAATTTCCTCCTAGATACTTATTTGAAAATTTGTCCCAGACCTAATAGTATGGTGCCATGCATTCCTACTAGGTCTCCTCTAAGTTTCAAAGTACCATTTTTAAAATCGAGATGAAAATACTCTTCCCAAGAAAATTATATAGGTTAATTTTACAATTTTATGCATGAATGTATCTCTGGGGAAAGAAGTGAATAAAAATAGAAAAAAATACATGAAGGACAGATTCACCCTTGGCCATTTCTCCCTAAATATATTAATGAATTTTATATACCTGAGGTAATATTATCATTCCAAAAAAGATTTATTTTTAGAATAAGTCATTTTCTACTTTTTAAAATGTATATTTCAACAGCTTTGGACTCTGATGGGGGTATGAATCTTTTTAGTGACCCACAGGACACTTTTAGTGATTCAGGAATTTTTTTAGTGTCCCACGATCTTTTTAGTGACCACAGCTTCTAATGGAGCCCCGATATTCATCCAGGTTATTTTTTGTTGTGGGAAGCTGCCCTGCACATGGTATGTTGTTAATAGCACCCCTGGCCTTTCATACCAGTTGCCAGTGGTGCCCCACCTCCCCAGTTGTGACAGCCAGCAATATCTAGACACTGCCAAACCTTCCCAGAGGGCAAAATCAAATCCACCTCTCTTTACCCCTCATCACATTGAGAACTATTACCCCAAATCAAAAAACAGAATTTTTCCTGTCATTTGTGACATCATAGATGGATTTTGAGGGCATTGTGCTAAGTGAAATAACCCAGACAGAAAAAAACAAATACTGCATGGTGTTAATCATACTGGAATCTTAAAAGAAGATAGTCAAACTTATAGAAACAGAGAGCAGAAATGTGAATGACAGGGGCTGAGTGGGGTGGAAGGAAACAGAGAGTTGGTAAAAGGGTACAAACTTTCAGTCCTAAGGGCAACAAAAAAAAGTAGATTTCAGTGATTCAATATGGTGTGACATCGTTATTATAATTTTTCTTCTAGAGTTTACATTCATAGTTTATTACTCTAAAAATAGATGCACTGGTATGTATTATGGTTCATTATTAAAAGGATAAAAAGTTCAAAATGGTTTTCAGCTATTACATGTAATTTTTTATGGAAAAACTACAACAAACATATCCTATTGTTTTAACTATCTCTTTTAAAAACAAAAACCCCACAAAATTCATCTATCCTTGTCATATTGAAAATGGCAACAATTAAGCATTAAAATAATTAACTGAATCTAAAAGCATAAGATACATGCAAAGATGTTAAGTACCAAACCTAAATTGGCTATGCAGTGCTTTCACTCAAGGGTCTAGTCAAGAAACAGGTATACATGATCCATGGACATGCATAACAGGGCAGGGATTGATTCTGGGAGCCAGGATGGTCAGGGCAGGGGAGGGAAGAGGGGAAAACTGGGACAATGGGTAATAGAGCAACAATTTAAAAAAGAATGTCATCAATTTCTCAACAAGAAATGAATATTCGCCCAATGTTTTCTAAATTAACACAATTTATTTCCTCATGGACATTGTGGTTAACATAATATAAAGAGAAAATTTAAAGAAAAAATATGCTATGCATCACCACAGGACAATTCAAATATTCAATTTTATTTCTTTTGTTTCTCTTTTACTTAGCTTTGGGATTTTGAGTTATTATAAATATCATGACCTGTTGAGATTTTTTATTTTTCTCCCTGCAAGTTTTAATGATAAGCTTGTAGAGCTTGGCCAGCTGTTTTAGGCTATTTATTGTATCAGAAAGAGGGAAGACACAGCTGCAAAGTCAACCAGGAAGGCAATGAGGAGCCCAAGATCTGCTCTCCCAGGCAAGAGTAAGCCAAAGGAGAAAGTGAAGATGGTTCCTAGGCAAAAAGAAGGTAGGGAACTGGATGAGAGATGGAAAAAGTCAAGAGGTAAATTATTCTGAGGAGTGTTTCTTACATTTAATGTGTTTAGGAATCATCTGGGAACCATGTTAAAGAGCAGATTCTGACTCAGGAAGCCTGGGGTGAGACCTAAGAGTTTCATTTCTAAGACTCTCCCAGGTGTTGATGTTGCTGGTTGATGCATGCCCCACACTTTGTGTGGCAAGATTCTCAAACAACCCCTCCCCCAATACATCTCTGCAAGTGAAAATGCCATCTTTGTTTCATTACACAATCTATGAATTAGCAAAATAAAGTGAATGTATTTCTCCCAATTGTCATTATATAAAAATGTGTTTGTTTCCTTTATACAGTTTTAATAAAATGAGGTGGATTATGTTTTGCTTTGATATACAAGCAGATTTCTTGTTGTTTTTAAAAATACACATATAAATAGCTACTAGTAAATGACACTATGGTTTTTGTTTTTTATATACTATTAAGCAGCAGGTTCTATGGTATAATATCTGATAAATGAAAAACTCACACTTACAAAATCAAAATTAAAGTTAGATTTGACTTTTAGATGATCAGTTTGAAATGAGTTTTCCAGCTCAACCCTGAGTATTGCTTCATTCTTTGTGACTACCCAGGATGTGCTTTTATCCTAATCATGTGAATCCTTTTACACCTATGGGAAAACATAATCTTGCTTACTTCATCCTTTTCCTCCTGAAGCAACTAACCATGGCCTGACTGTGTGATAGGTTTTGGCATCGTGTCAATGTCAAGGTGTACCAGGAAGAGAAACAGATACAGAGATGACAGATAGATGAAGTATCCTTGATGTAAAACATCCGTTGGTGAAAAAGTTGATGGTACCATAAAAATTAGTATGTTTAGGCACAAAAGTCTAAAGACTGAACACTAATACTAAGTAGAAGTAACTCTGAGCTATTGGAAAAGAGGACCAGTGTACACACATTTGTTCCTATCACAAATATTTCAAAGTAACACTTAGCATTTTCTACAGGGTATACTTGGAAACAAAAAAGACAAGTTTAGGTATTTATTACACAATTTTTTAGGAACAAACATTTTCCAAATATATGCCCCTCTTTTTTTTCTGGAAAAAAAAAACGAAATATTGTCTCACACAAAAGGCTTATTATAAATATTCAGGCCACCAAAATGTCACACAACTTAGCAATCTGTGTCTGGCAGGTAAAGTATTAAAGATATGTTAAAAGTTTGAAATATAAAGACATTCATCTATTTCTATATAAAATACCTAGTTTTAAACGGATATAGACAATTTGCAAATATTTTTAACAAAGAAATTAAGGCAACATGGGTTTGTAGTGTTGACAAATGCATCCTACACTACTCAGAACAGCCACCAGGATTATATTAAGGCTACAACTCTGGAGACTACCATGTGCAAACATGTACTTTCTACATTACATAAAACTTAGAATGTCTTCTCAATTCACTTATTCTGACCACATTCCAAAACATGTTAGATGGTCACACCTAGATCATCTGTATGATGCTAGTGTTAATTAAACTAAATTTTAAGCAAATGATAAATTCATAAGGAAAAAAATTTAAATTATCAGTAGTTCTATTGGACACAAATATTACACTCTGTTAGTTCGTGTATTGAATACATTGATAAACATTTCACCTGAAGTCCAGGAGTTTGCTTTAGAGAACATACCAATAATTCCTTCTGCTTTTTAAGAGAGGCAATGGACAGAATCATGTTCCATTTCAATAGTTTATTGAACTCACCCCATGTGATGGGTTAGAGATCCAGCCCAGCTCCCCTTGAATAGTTTTTGAATCCAGCAGATTGACTAAAAGAAAACACAAATTCACAAACGCTGTTAAGAGGAATGAATTCTTTCTATTTGCATTTTCAAGTTAATAATGTCTGCTGTTGGTGGTAATATAAAAATATCAACATATTCAAAACACATAACCTTTCATTTTCATTTTACCTGTAAGATACAAGATGTATGAGGATAGAAGGATAGAATTAATGAAAGAAAAGCAACCACAAGGGAAGTCAAGGAATCAAAAAGTCCTTGTAATTCTTTATGTCTGTTTACTAAGAAAGGTTAATATTCAATACATTGATAATATTTTTTTACAGAATAATAGCAGGTTTAAAGAGGACACAATAAAAATGCAAAATAGGAAACCACATGAATGCTAAAAGGAAAACAAAAAACTTCAAAGACCATTAAATTTGATAAGTTTACATATGATTTTACTATAAATTAATATCTTAAATATGCTTTCATAATGAATCAATGTTTATGTTTGCATACTTAATGTGGCATCTTCATATTGTCCCTATCCAATCACAAACATATTCTGAATTGTATTTTAATAATGTATAAATAGACTCATTATGTATAACAAATAAAATGCTTAGCTACTAATATGAGGAGAAACTAAAGCAAAAATATTTTTATAATATTGCCTGTGTAAACCTTTACTTATTTAGAAAAGATATTGTTACCCAAAGCTTTTAATGATTTTACTTGGAACTTTGTTACTTATTAAAAAGTTTAATGGCTGATAAATAATAAGATATAACATGAATGTGGTTAGATGTTGGATATACTTGAAAGAGAAAGTCAAATGCTTTGTTTCCAACACAGAGAATATTAATTTGTAATGGATTATAAATTAATATGTAAAATTACTTCAAGTTTAATTAATAACAAAGGTCTTACTTTTATTACTGACCTGTTATATAATGGAAACTATGGTGTTACAGCATCCTTCTTATAAATTAGAAGAGAAAAAAAACAAATATTGACTGATGGAAGACGCAAAGGAAGTTTATGTAAAATACATGTGTATTATTAACATGAGCCACAGAAGGTGAATAAATAACTACAGTCAAAGAGTCATTTTCATGGGTTCCATATATTCACAATCAAAGCATAATGTTAGTATATGCATGCACATGTCCATGTGTTGTCAATAAAGTGTTTCCCAATGCATGAAAAGCACCACACTTTCTTTAATCATCCCAATTAGTTGTTTCTACAAAAAAATTAATTTTATAAAATGTTAAGAAAAAATAATATATTTGAGAAATATTAGAATTCTAAATTTTCAAGTGCTGCTTTTTTAAGGAAGAAATCTGATTAGCTGGTTAGATAATATATACACTAGGTGAGTATAAGAAAGGCTCCTGATCATTATTTTAAAAGAGACAAAATTTTCAAAGTTAGATTATCTAACTTTTGGTAGTGAAAAGAAAAACACATAAACGTAATCTATTACACAGAATTTCTTAATTATTAAAGTTTTTTTCTCACAATATATTAATCCCAATGATAAATAATTGTATTTACATAAGAAGATAGTTGTTGCATGGATCACACAGTATAATTTTCATAATAAAATTATTTTCCAGGATATTAGTTTGAAAATTAATAGTGTGCTTAATTATCTTAAAATTATATCTTAAAATTATTTTTACATAAACATCTACCAATGTTTAGATAGTTCAGATTAATCAATGTTAGAACATTTCTGAAAATATGAGAATACATCCTCGAGTGTTACCAACACTTATTCTGAGAAAGAAAGACCTAGTTTACTTGTTGGTCTTATCACAGTCATCAGTGGTTCAATGTATCCTTGGGTGTGTGTAGTAATTGAGTATATACTTAATGATGAATATGTGTCACTGCACATGCTAAGATAAATGGCTAATTAATTTCAATATTAGTAATCAGAGGAAAAACATTTTTAAGGTAAAAAAAAAAAAAGAAGATGAACACTGCATCCATGTAGTAAATTACTCAATGGAATGTAGCTTAATAACTAAAAAACTAAATACTCCTATGTTTTCTTTGATGATAATGTTGAGGAAAATAAGGATTGAACTAATCACATTAGCATTTGGTCTTTACTCAAAGGAGAATAAAAAGCTAAATCAAAGTGCAAAAAAAAAGTGTATCACACTGTCAATTTAAAATAAGTATAATGGATTAATGAAATGTATTACATTAACTCAGAAATTGAATTTTTAGTGCACACCATTTGCATGAGTGAGGAAAACACAACTGGCAGCATTATTCATGACTCTGATTCTGTGTCTATGAAACATCATTATATCTGCCCTGGTTCTCTCACAATGTTGTTGTGATAATCAGATAAGATAAATGCATTTAAAGCTACTGACGTTATAATATGCTATACACATTCAGTGTTTTTGTAAAATTAATTCATTAACAGAAGTTCCGTTTGAGCTTCTCAATGGTATTTATAATCAGCAATCTATATGTGACCTAAGAGAAAAGAATGGGGACATCAAAACACTTTTTTAAAAGCACCTATTTTGAGTTTATAAGGCACCCTTTATTTATAGCCAAATATGAACAACACAATCTAAAATTCTAACCACTTTAAAGTGAATTATTGCTCTACTGGGACTTTCAAGGATAAAAACCTCTAGTCTCCTGCAATCTGTTGCATTGCAATATGAGTGTAGCATAATTGAGACAAAAAGAAAGGAAAGTTAATGGAATTTGAAGGTCAACCTGTGTGAGTGATTTCTCTGGATACATTGACTAAATCTAACACTGCAATACAGCATCTTAAACACCACACTGATACAGGCAAGTACTTTGGTTACTCCTGCTTTTCTTTCCCAATTAGATGTAGACTTGACCATAATCTTTCTTTTGTTTTTTGAATTCAATCTTTATTATAATTCTTTTTCCATTACCATTTAGTCCCCTTATCCCCCCAGCAATCACCACACTGTTGTCCACGTCCATGAGCCCTTTTCCCTCTTTGCGCAATCCCTCCAACCCGTCACCTCCTCCCCCTGCACTAGCTGTCGTCTGTTCTCCATCTAAGAGTCTGTCGAGTGGTATTGTCCATATATCAGGGCAGATGGACGAGGCAGACAGAATTGTGATACAGTTTGAGCCATAACAGCAATTTGCAATATGGAAGGTTTATTTTATCAGTTGCTGAAAAATTTGAGATTCGAATTATCAGTTTTAACAAGAAAAGGAGTTAGGAAATTATTCTTAAGGGTAGGTGGGAATATATGGACAGATTAATTCCTTAATGACGGTTTATTGCTGGGTTATATGACAAAGATACAAATTGTCCCTTACCAGACTTTATATTCTAATGTGATTTCAAATTATTTTTGGTTTATAACAGGAAGTATATTATTTCATTATTTTTATAGGTTTTTTATTGTTTATGCTATTACAGCTGTACCAATCTTCCTCCTTTTCCCACTCCCTCCCCTTCCCAAAATCAATCCCCACACCATTGTTCATGTCCATGGGTGATGCATATATATTCTTTTTCTAATCCCTTCACCTTCTTTCAACTAGCTCTACCCTTTTCCTTTCCCTCTTACAGCTATCAGTCTGTTCCTTGTTTCTGTGCCTCTGATTCTATAGTTAATTTTGTTCATTAGATTCCACGTATAAGTGAGATCATATGGTATTTGTCTTTCATTGACTGGCTTATTTCAATTAGTATAATAGTCTCCAGTTCCAGCCCTGCTGTTGCAAAAGATAAGAATTCCTTCTTTTTTATACCTACATAGTATTCCATTGTGTAAATGAATCACAGCTTTTTTATCCATTCATATACTGACGGGCACTTGGACTGTTTCCAAAACTTGGCTATTATAAATTGTGCTGCTATGAACATGAGAATGAATAAATTCTTTTGAATTGGAGTTTCAGGATTCTTAGGATATATCCCAGCAGTGGAATTGCTGGGTCAAAAGGTAGTTCCTTTTTTTGTGAGAAAAATTCTATACCATTTTTCAGAGTGGTTGCACCAGTCTGCATTCCCACCAACAGTGCCCTAGGGTTTTCTTTTCTGCACATCCTTGCCTGGATTTGTTGTTTGTTGATTTATTAATGATAGCCATTTGACAGGTGTGAGGTGGTATCTCATTGTGGTTTTAATTTGCATCTCTCTGATAACTAGTGATGTTGAACATCCTTTCATATGTCTCTGAGCCCTCTGTATGTCCTCCTTGGAGAAGTGTCTGTTCAGGTTCTTTGCCCATTTCTTAATTGGATTGTTTGTCCTCCTAGTGTTGAGTCATATGAGTTCTTTACATATTTTGGAGATTAAACACTTGTCCAATGTATCATTGGCACATATGTTCCCCCAAAAGATTGGTTCCCTTCTCATTTTGCTGACAGTTTCTTTAGCTGTGCAGAAGCCTTTGAATTTGATGTAGCCCCATTTGTTTATTTTGCCTTTATTTCCCTTGCTGTAGGCATTCATTCTATAGGCAAAAATATTACTACTTAAGATACCTGAAATTTTACTGTGTATGTTTTCCTCTAGAGTTTTTATGAGATCGTGACTTATATTTCTCTCTTATCCATTTTGAATTTATTCTGGTATACTCTTGACTCCTTTGTCAAATATTAATTGACTATAAAGACATGGGTTTATTTCTGGGCTATTTGGTTTCATTGATCTATGTGTCTGTCCTTATGCCAGTACCAGAATCACATAGAATTTCATTAATTTCAGAATATGTTCTATTCAGAGTTATGTGGTATATGTTACCTCTTAAATTAAAGTGATTTAAAATAGACACATTGTTAAATGTATGACTATTTAAATTGAGACATAAAGAGGTGATTTTTGGAAAATTGTTTGGAAATAACTGTCTGAAATCTGAATGGATATGGTTTTAGGATTCTTTCATATACTGTAGTCTGTCTAGTCTTATTTCTTTTAAATAAAAAAAAAAGATGTATAAACAGGTGAAGGAGTTTGGATTCATGAAAACAATAAAGAAATAGACTCCTTGTGTTGGCTTTCAGATGAG